AGACACACTCTGTCAGTTTAAATCTAGATTAAAGACCCATCTCTTTAACCTGGTTTACACATAACACACTAACACGGAAGTTCCGGAACCGGAACACTTCCCATAACACCCGAAGATTGCACAGATACTATTTAAACTGAACTGAGCTGGATGATGACATCACTGAATTCAATGATGAACTGCCTTTAACTGAAAATTGAGTGTTTACTATTGTCATTTTGCATTATTGACACACTATTTTCCTAATTAATGTTGTACAGTTGCTTTGACACAATCTGTATTGTTAAAAGTGCTGTATAAATAAAGGTGACTTGACTTGACTTGGTGCAGAGTAGAAACAGACTTTGTCTGCAGCATAAAGCATGTTTTACATTGTAGAGTTAAGAAACGAGCTCAAACTGAAATCACTGTAAAACCTAGTAGCTTTCCATTAGTCAACACTGCAAATTTGCATAATGAACCTAATGAAATCTGTGTGTGGATTTTTTTTTATTTTTCAGAATTCCCAATCATGTGGTTTCCTATTGAAATTATTGTTAACGCACCTTTAGAGTTTTCTTTCATAGAGAATTTGAAGAGGATGTTAAAAGTCAGACCATCTATACATTTTCTCACTTTCAAGTGGATATTGAAAGTCAGACCCATCTATACATTTTCTCACTTCATGAACACTTGGAGCAGGGTTTCTCTCTGCAGGAAGAGAAAAATGGAAAACCTGGAGTGGACCTCAAGCTGTGTGATGGGACGGTAAATCTCTGTCAACCCGCTTCACTCATACACTATTCCAGACTCGTTTTCAGTCTGTATGTTGCTTGCCAAACATGTAGCTTGGCTTCTTTTGGAACTACTTCCGCTGGCGGAGGAGAAAAATATGAACTAACTGGCCAATTTCTGTTTAAAAAGTAAACTTCTTGATGTGTAGCCTAATGATCAAGTGCGGCATTGTAACCATATTGCCCTGTTGATTTTCAGTAGGCTACAACAGCACTCATACTTGTATGTTATTGCTTAAATCATATACCCACTATATAGCTGCAACCCAAAACAACCACAAACACACTGCTATTATAAACGTACTGAAGCTGGTTAAAGGGTGATAGAGTGAGTGCGGCTATCTATTGGTTGTAGGCATTGTAAATTTAATTCAGTGCAGTCCAATGGCAACGAGAGAGAG